GAATTAATGAGAACAAAATTAAGAAAGGATTTCCCTAATTTTTTCAAAATAGTGAAGTCTATGAGACTGTTAGGTAGCACAGCAACGGAAAAATAAAGCTTTTATGTGAGTTTTTGACATAATTTTATCATATCCCCAAGAAATTATATTGTTGGGGTCTATGGGGACAAAAATCTCAACAAACAATGACTAAAAGGTGAGGATGGTTTTCCCACAGAAGTAGATGGTTTCTTTCTGAAATAAGGTACAGGAGGGCAAGAGCAATAAATTAGAATTGTTCCTAAACAGCAATTAATTAGGATTATTCCTCCCCTAAAAAAAAGGGGGAAGGGTTGCTCAAAGACAATCATCATAATCATTATTTGTGTTAATTTATTTTTAAAAAACAGACTAGAGACAATAATTGTTAATGCTTGGGCAATCATCAAGATTTATTTTCAGAGCACTTGTACTTTGTTGTCGCATTTCTCATCATACTTTTAGGTAAATGGTATTTTAAAAGGATTTTATATTACCTAGAAAATATTTCTGTTATAAGAAATATTATATATTTGATCATACTTAGCTATTTCCCAGACTAATATTTATTACATCTACAATTAGGTGTTAAAAATTCTCTGAAGTGAGGCCCTCCCTGGTGGCACAATTACTTTAAGCGCAGCACTTAGAAGCTGTTGGCAACCACTTCAGCATGAGTTCCATCCTGGCCAGGGAGGTGACCTACCTGGTATGACAGACCTCTCCTGTCTTGCCTGCTGCTCCCCTCCGCAATGTACTTCATCAATCTGCCTGTTCTGCTCCCCATTCTTTCTCTGGTTAATCTTTTCACACACACACACACACACACACACACCCAGCACTTCTGCCTTGTAACCCCAGTTCTCGTATGCATAAATAAATAAATCTTTTAAAAAAATTCTCTAAAGTGATTGAGGATTTTGTGGGAGGCAGCTATGAGCCTTGTTTGTATCTAAAGAGCCCACAAATAGTAACTGAAACTGCCAAATAAACTGCAGGTAATTCTAACACCATATGCCCACATCTGTAGTCCTTACAATTTGCCCATTTAGAGGGTTCCTGCAGTATGTTCCTGAATCTGCATGCTGAGTTGGATCATGAAGGTGGATTTTATTTCCCTAGTAAAGCAATGTCTTAATTGGGGCAGGAGCCATCACCAAGGACTCAGAAGTAAACAGATTAGAAGTAAATAAAATGTGTGATAAAGGTAAAATTTGAACCTACATACTTTTTTTTTTTAAAGATTTATTTATTTGTGCATACAGAACTGGGGTTCAGGCCAGAGGCGCAGCGGCAGCGAGAGGATTCATCAGAGACAGAGTGAGGAGCAGAACAGGCAGATCGACGAAATACACTGCTGAGAAGTTAAAATATATCCATGTCCCCAATATGCATTGTCATAAGTTATGTACTTTCCTTATCAAATTATTGTAATAAAATTTATTTCATATAGAAAATGAAATCCTATTAAAACATGAACAAAAATAAATTTTAATTGAAACAAATGTTATAGATCACTGAAAGTTAGCACAAGAGGATGTGATTCAACAGAGTAAAATAAGAGCCCAGAGAAGGTAATTAAATTGTAGCAGAGTCTCAGTAGTCTGTAGGCCATTAACTCCTCGGACAAGTCCTCTCCATCCTCTTGTACAGGGTACTACTTATCTGATCCTCATGACACATAAAATTTGGTGGAATTACTTAAATAGTTCTGTACACCTTAATATTATACTAGAAAGTCTGAAAATATGCCTTTTATCTTAATCAGTTTCTATGTGGTAAAAAAGATTAAAATCATGGCTTTAAAAAAAAAACCAACCTTTCTTCTACTCTTGAGTCTCTCCACTAGATGGTAGATTCTTGTATAACCAAACTGCCCAAGAACAAAGAAAAGCAGGTAAGTCTGAGCTGTAGGTCTAAAGTAAAACAAATGAAGATTGATGGTGAATGTAGAAAAATGGATTGAGTCTTAAAAACTGTAAGTAAAAAAAATCAAACTGTATAAGGTTATATATAGTATGATGCTATTTTAATAAAAGCCTAAGTATATATTTATATGTTTGTATTTA